TTTATATGTTGGTTCCATGCATAAATTAAGAATGGTTGGTTTGTGGTGTTTTCAGGAAGCTTCTTGTATTTTCATGTTCATTTGCTTTGCTTAATCGCTAAGTTTTGTTCTTGAAGTAAGTTGGAACTTCATATATTTTCATGGTTCATAGATAGGGGTCATAAATTTTTTGTTTTGTGATGTTATATTGTCAGAGTTTTCACGAGTTTTGTGGGTTTGGAATGAGTTTATATGTTGGTTTTGATGCATAAAATTGGTTGGTTTGTGGTGTTTTCAGGAAGTTGAGAAATGGGTACAGGAGAAATCAGGTCACCGCAAAGTGTGCCGGAGACACCAGCAAGTTTAGATGGAATTTGCGGTGCAAGTCAGAGGAAAAAGCTCAGTGTGTACTTCATTGAGTCTGATAACAGGCGAATGGCACCCGGCCGTGGTTACACTGGAGGAACTACTCCTGTTAATATCCATGGAAAACCTATTCCTGACCTCTCAAAAACTGGAGGTTGGATTGCAGCCCTCTTCATTTTCGGTAAGCAAAAATCTTTCTCGTTTGTTTGGTTGGTGAGAAACTTGTGGAAAAGTCAAATTTTTTTATTGATTAGTAAAGAATTTGTTTGTTAATTGGAGTATTTCATTTTTCAGGGAATGAAATGGCAGAAAGAATGGCTTATTTTGGGCTTTCTGTTAATATGGTGGCCTTTATGTTCTATGTTATGCATAAACCATTTTCAAGTTCATCCAATGCTGTCAACAACTTTCTTGGAATATCACAAGCATCCTCTGTGCTCGGTGGTTTTCTTGCTGATGCTTATCTTGGTAGATACTGGACAATAACGATTTTCACGACCATTTATCTTGCGGTATGCATCCATTATTTTGAGTAATTTCGTTTGATTAGAGAAGCTTAAGTACTCATGATACTGATGTTCAATTCTCATTTTCCTTTTCAATCTTCTCTCCTGGAGGGTCTGACAGGAATAACCTTATGCGCGACAATGAATATTTTCATGCCAAACCAAAAGCAATGCGATCAGATAGCCTTGCTTCTTGGCAATTGTGAGCCGGCAAAATCTTGGCAGATGATTTACCTTTATACAGTTCTTTACATAACTGGATTTGGGGCTGCAGGCATAAGGCCTTGTGTCTCTTCATTCGGAGCTGATCAATTTGATGAAAGAAGTAAAGATTACAAGGCTCACCTCGATAGATTTTTCAACTTCTTTTACCTGTCTGTCACTATTGGGGCAATTGTGGCGTTCACTTTGGTTGTCTACATTCAAATGAAACATGGATGGGGATCTGCCTTTGGCTCATTGGCCATAGCCATGGGCATATCAAACATGTTATTCTTCCTTGGTACTCCTTTATACAGACACAGGTTGCCAGGAGGCAGCCCTCTAACCAGAGTTGCCCAAGTTCTGGTCGCTGCTTTTCGAAAGCGAAACACCTGTTTCTCCAGCAGTGAGTATATAGGCCTGTATGAGGTCCCTGGTAAACATTCTACTATAAAGGGCAGTGGAAAGATACCTCACACCGATTCTTTCAGGTACTGTAAACTCTTCATTCCCTTCTCTCAATTTAGACTAGAATCACCAATTCACCCTATAACTTGAGACTTTTTTGCCGTGCAGATGTTTAGACAAAGCGGCGTTGCAATTGAAGGAAGATGGACCTGATCCAAGTCCTTGGAGGCTTTGTACTGTAACTCAAGTAGAAGAAGTCAAGATCCTTATCAAACTTATCCCCATCCCAACTTGCACAATTATGCTCAATGTTGTCCTGACAGAATTTCTAACTCTCTCAGTGCAGCAGGCCTACACTTTAAACACCCACATGGGGAATCTGAAACTTCCTGTAACATGCATGCCAGTCTTTCCAGGTCTCAGCATATTCCTCATTCTATCCCTCTACTACTCCATCTTTGTTCCAATCTGTCGACGCTTCACTGGGCACCCTCATGGAGCCTCCCAGCTTCAGAGAGTAGGCATAGGCCTGGCAGTCTCAATCCTCTCCGTCGCATGGGCAGGCGTCTTCGAGAGATACAGAAGAAATTACTCAATAAAACATGGTTTCGAGTTCAACTTCCTGAGCCCTATGCCCAACCTTAGTGCATACTGGCTGCTAATCCAATACTGCCTCATCGGCATAGCAGAAGTATTCTGCATAGTGGGATTACTTGAATTCCTCTACGAAGAAGCCCCGGATGCAATGAAAAGCATAGGCTCAGCGTATGCAGCTCTAGCTGGAGGATTAGGCTGCTTCGTCGCATCAATTTTGAACACCATTATCAAATCTTCAACTGGGGATCCGGAAAAAGGCAAACAATCTTGGCTGTCACAGAATATAAACACAGGGAGATTTGATTATTTGTATTGGGTGCTTACAGTTCTGAGTGTGGTAAATTTTGGTGCATTTTTATATGCAGCTTATAAGTATAAGTATAGGTCATAAATAATGGTTGAAGTGATGAAGAACAAACAGAATTCTTCATAAATGGAAGTTAATTACAGAATTGCCATTTTACTATTTCCAGATTCTGATGAAGAAAATTTGAGAGAACTGTGAATTTTAGTTACTTAAGCAAAGCAAGTGTGAAAATTGAACTATATTTTTGTAGTTTGATTTGTAATCTTTTAATTATGAGCCAATTTTGTGTTCTGGTTTGTCAAATTATTGCTCTATAATTCAGTTGGTTAGGCATCAAAGTAGTTGGAGGTGTTTGTCGATTTTGATTTGATTGATTTTTGTCGATGAGAATTCTCGATACAAAATGAATTGGTTTAAGATTGATATTTGATCTATACTTCGAGTAATTATAAACTGAAGTTCAATCCAGTTGAATTTGTTTACCAAATATTTTCTTATTGAAATGGATTTTTTTAGTTCTTAAAAAACGTTGGCTTTGTTTAATAATTGAAGCATCACTTATGTGAATTATGATAAATAATAAAAAAAAATTATTATTTTTGTGGTTATAATCAATATGGTTTAATTGTTGTCGATTTGGTAAATGATTATATGATTATATGTCTAATATAATATCACATTATATGATTGTATGTCTAAAATAATATCACGTTATTTGAAGTGCAAGACTTAGAACATGAATTTAGAATGAGTAATACTACACTTACAAAGAAATCTTCATACAAAGTGATGTGGCAAAAAATGAATGGAAGAGTAAATTTAATGAGTTTGATTTTTTGTTTCACTCTTCCATTTATTTTTTGTCATCTCACTTTGTATGAAAATCTTTATAAGATTTCTTTGTAAGTATAATATTATTGATTTAGAATGTACATTACTTACTCGTTTGCAAAAGCTTGTCAAATGAGTCAATTAGTACCATTTTTTTTTTTCCTTTTATTTTTTTAAGAAGCCAGTCATTAAATAAAATCTACCAACTCGATAAATTTATTGAAAATAAAATTACTTTAGATTGGGACCATAGGGTTGATGAATTTGGTTTGAATCTGACAAAAAAAAAAAAAATTGCTGCTTCATGTGGAGTTTTAAAAGTAACCCCACATAGAAGAGTTGTAAATTCAATTGCATGCTTCAATAGCAGAGAAATCTGCAAGCTTCAACTGCCATTGACTCGTACTCCTTTCATGTGTTTTATATTAAACAATTCCACATAGTATATAATTGATATAAACCCCTAAAATTTATATTCAAATTAAAAAAAAAAAAAAGAATTTCTATTTACTGCTCAAATCTAGTTAACTTGTTAGCAAATAGGTGGAAAATATCCAATTTGGCAAAAGAGCAAAAGTACAAGGCTGAGCAATCACCTTCATAGTTTCTTTCACCTCCATAATTTTAGGAAGAAAAGTCTTAAATAGGACAATGAATACTCATTTTCATGGAGGTTAGAAGTCACACTTAGCTGCCAAGTACACAACTTGATAAAAGTGATTAAAATCAATCTATATGTGACATTGAAGTTATATTCAATTTTTTCATATAAGATAAAGATAGAGGAAACGAAATATTATGTCACTTGAGTAACTTTATCTCTATTTGGTCCCCTGGTAAGATGACTGTAATACTTTGAATTAGGAGGAATCTATTATGTTATTGGTTGTGTATAGTTCTTGATCCAATATCCATTTTTTGAACCAAGAGGAATATACTATGTTATTGGTTTGGTATAATTATCAACTCTTTGAACAAAGAGGAATATACTATGTTACTAGTTCGATATAATATCCTATTCAATATCAACTCTTTAAAAGAAGAATCTATTATTTTACTGGTTGAGTATACTTGTTGGATTAATCTTGGATATTATGCATAGTTTCTTTTGCTTAAACTTATTAAGGTTGATTAATCTTTCCCTAAAATTGAAAATGAAGGGCATTACTATCCCTATAACAATATCGAGTAGGTAAGATTTAGACAATAATCCAAAATAACATAAAAGATGGTAACCTTATCTCTATTGGTTGCCCGGTGACGTAGTTCAAGGGTATTTAATGACCTAATAACTAGTTGATAAGATAGTCCAGATCTAAGCGTATTTAGCATAGGAAAATGACAGATTTCTGCTACGGATAAACATTAAAGAGGCGGTTACAGTTATTGTCAATGAAAGCATTTATTGAAAAGGGCCAATGGGGTCTAATTGCCATCCAAAGAAGGTAAGGAAAGCCAACTCTCTTCATTTTCTTGTCAGGTTGCTATCTAAGTCTAACTAGCTCAATGCAGCACCAAGAAATTAAAATTCAGAAGCATAAAGATAAACCCATATTAGTTAATCTCATGCACGAGGATAAAACCTAAAACACCCCTTATCATTCAAACATAAAATTCTCTACAAGATAAAATCTACTAGTGAGGTTTGAATTTGATTCGTACTTTCTTCCTCACATTGAGTTCGATTTCCATACTATCTGTTACAAGATCAATGCATTTAACTCAATCTTTCTTATAAACGCGTAGATCCTTGTACACTTTCCAATATGAGACTCAAGGGTAGATAGCATAGAAACAAAATGAACTGCAAACTTGAAAGACTACTGTTTTCGAGCATCATCAATATGATTCCAATGCGATTACGTTACAATCAGTTGATATAGGATGACCTTCATTGATAAGTTCTAAACTAAAAGATAGGATGTACATAAAACCACTACATACAGAACAGAGGAATAATTATTAAGAAGTAGGAGCTAGTACAAAGAAAAATTGCTTTCCTCTGCACGAGTATGTTTAGAACGAGAACCGACTTTTTATTTACAGATTCTACTGGCCTCTCTATATATGTAGTAGCTCCATAGCTTTGAAATCACGTAAACAAAGGTTAAGGGCTTTCGCAGAACTCCATTTCCTGACATTTTTATAAAAAGCAGCTCAAGTGAGATGCATATCATGAAGCCTAATATTAATAAATAAAAGAAAAACACGGATGCAAAGCCAAGTAATATGTGCAGCAAAGATCTATAAAGTTAAGCAAAAACAGATTTTTCGGAAGTGGGAGGAGCAATCATTTCCTACCTTGCCACATATTGGACAGCTTTCACTCCTTTCCAGCCACTCGTATATACAACCCAGATGAAAATGGTGGGAACACCTTGTTGTGATTTTAGGATTTTCAGGAGTATATTCTGCAGGATTTAAATGACCCACATCAAGATAACTTAAACCATGGGTGCACACTGCCTTCCACCATTTAGCTCTTTTGCTACTAATGTAAATTTATCGTAATAAAGATTGCTTGAAGAAATTATCGAGCAAATGAGTATAAGGATAGATAAAAAAAAATTGTTCATGTAAGCTAATCAGAATGTTTTTTTATATAAGCACATCAAATTACCATCAAGACAAGTAGGACAGACATCTTCATCTTCAGCAGATGTTTGTAGATAATCGCCAAACACAAATTTAGTTGCTAAAGCTTTCTCTGAGGACTCAGAATGGATAAGTTTAGAATCTTCTTCAAAATCAACTCCATTCTGTTTCTTCCCAAAACCCAACGATTCTGTACCAGAACTGCTCATATTTCTTCTTGGTGGTTGTGTATCTTCTTGAAAATGAATCATTGACTTGTCACGCCTAGAGACCAAGCCATCACGCTGCAAGCGAGTGTATCTCTGTTCACTATCATAGGGAATTGATCTTGACAATGAGAGCTGAGAATCATTGGGAGAATTATCAGGTAAAGCGGCTGCAATCCCTGATGACGCCAAAGATGTAGCTCCTTGGTTTGATGATGGTATAGATCGACCTTCAAGTCTATGAAACACTGCACCATACTGCACATGCATGGGAAAAGATAAACAAAGAATGGATTAAATTTGAAAATACAGAGAGTAAACTGTAGCAAACAGTATGGGGGTTACTGTTACAGGGAACAAAGAACCCATAGAGGGTAAGGAATCAGCTAAAATTCTGCAGGGACCTTTGTAATTAGCCCGTCTATATGATCAAGTATAAGGTGACCGACAATCCATGACCATAAAAACCATCCAAGGCATAGAGTTATCACGAAAAATACACTAAGATAACAAGTATATAAATGGTTGAAAAGTAAGCATGAACTCCATTTCTCTTGGATCACAAAAGCAGAAGTAAAGATACAACCTCACAAATTGAAAGGTTGACATTATCAATTTTATGTTCTAGATTGTTAAAATTCGTTACCTTAAACAATACCCTTCCTGTTTATGGAAAAACCTTGCTTTCTATTTTCAAATTACTTTCTATATCATGTCCTTTCCTTGAAGATTCTTTGCAACGTAGTAGGATATTCAATCAACAGTATGGCTATTTTGTTAATTAACTTCACTTGAAAAAGAGGACCACATAAAATGTTCTTGCATTATAATTCATGATAAGAAAAAAAGAACAAAAAATAATGGAGTTATTAATGACAAATGAGGCAGTGATTTAGATTTGGTTCAATAAATTTATCATGCTCAATTATAATTCAAACATCAAAGCTTAACATGGTCCCCTATTCAAACCAAGAATTGGCGGAAATTAGTTACGAAGTTAGAAAGGGAAGTGAATAAGTTCATATTTAACAATGACATTTGTAATTAGCCTCTCTATATGTTCAAGCATGGGAAGATTAACAATTCATGACTATATAACCATCTATTGCACATAGTTATTTAAGAAATACAAGTATATCAGATGGTCTGAAACTATGAATCACTATTCATCTCTCTTGGATCACAAACCAGAAGACACACGTCCTTGCAAATTGAAAGGCACAATAATTACATCAGCACTTACAAATAAAACAAGAAAGAACATAATTCTTTTTTTTTTTTTTTAAGGCAATAAGCCATCTAAGGAATCTGATTTAATTATAATCAGATTCAGTTTTAGAAAGTATTAACTAAGAAAAATATTTTACATTCCCCATTTAGTGTTCACTGAAGACTTTATTGGGAAAATTTTGAGAATGCTTCTATATTTTTTTAACCAAAATGTAGTATTTATGGTGTTTATTGTTTACTTGGGTGAAAACCTTGGTAAGATAGGGCATTGAAGCCCGGTCGCACCCATATGCCTAGGTGTCAAGAAACTGACAATTTGAACTCGAGGTCCGGAACTCACGTTATAAACAAGAACCACCAGCACCAACACAGAAACTAACGTGATTGAAACTAATGAAGACATTTCCGTGCTGATTATAAAGATAAGAGATGACTAAAAGTTGAAATGTGTAACTTCAAAACGTACCCCATTGAATAGCTGGTGGAAGAAAAACCTTAGGCATATGCAGTGACGATATAATGAACCGCTCGGAATAGTGTACTCTTCTAATTCATCAATACATGGACAGCAGCAAAAAGAACCCATCTTTGTACTTTCAAATATCTCCAGAAAAATCGGTCTTCAAGCAACCAAACAGCACCAGACAAAAACTTTAGATTATCAGAAACAGATCCTCCTCTAAATGTGAAATCAAACCTCTGATGAAATGCCACATAAAACCACAAATGAGGTCGAAATTGCAGCAAAATCAAATCCAACAAGCAGCCTAACTGATCGAAGATTAATTCATCAAACAAGTCTAATCCTTCATTACCAAGTCAATGTCAATATGTTGAGTTATTCCTAAAGTTCTAATTTTTCAAGCAAACTTATACTTAACAAATCACAATTTGACAAAATCAAGACAAAAGTCAGAAGAAAAGAAAAAACCCTAAAAATCAAACACAAAAACACCAACATTAACTCATGAACTTGAAACTAAGCATCATAAACTGAAGAATTAAGACACAAAGTCAAAATTAAAAAAATGAAAACCAAAGAAAAACACATAAAAATTGAAGAATCGTGAGAACCCACCTCAATTTTTTTCTAGAAGATGAAATTCAACAAGTTTCATGATCATTTCCACACCACAACAGGCTGAAAAATCAAGTCTTCAACACATAAACAAGCAACAAGTAATCAAAACTGAAAAAAGAACAAAACTTTCATCTGCGTACCTGAACTTTGAGAGTAAAATCAAAGTAGATCCACTCAGAATCCAAGCTAAACCATGAAAAACAAGGACTTAAAGAGTCTGAAGAAAAAACCAAAGTGGGAACAGCAAAGAAAGAAGAGTTGAGTTGAAAGAAAGAAGAGAATAATAACACAAAAATATGAATTTGGTAAGGGTGTGGCCCAGCTTACAGGAATCATATTATATAATTAATGATTAATTGATTAAATTAATTATCTTATCTACATTATTAGAAATGAGAATCTGTGTATCTGGTAATGTGTTGGGTTCTTGGGAATCATGATTAAGGTAAATAATTAATATAAATATTATAGGTTAATGGGCTAAGAACTTGGATGTCACACGTACAAAAACGTTGTTTTTTAAGATTTATATTATCTTATCTATGTGGGTTTCTAAAAATGCAATTGTGATTTTCAGAAAGTATAATATATTTCAATTAATAGAAATTTTTGGCTAATTGGATGATTTTAAATTTATGATAATTTAAATAAATTATAATGAATAATATGTCATTATTACATCAATTTGTAGAAAATAATTTGTGTAATTAGTTTGTATATGTAGCTTACTCTTTCTAATAATAAAGAGTAGATCGTCAAAAAAAAAAAAAAAAAAAAAAATTGAATCAAAGAGTCAAACCGAACCAAATCAAAACCTAAACGGTATGGTTTGGGTTTTAAGATACGAAAATATGAAGTTTTTGCGTATATATAATTTATAGATAATGGGTAAAAATGTGCAAATATATAAAGCCGAAAACTCAAACTGAACAAAAAAAAATTTTAATGGATTGGTTTGCGTTTATTCTTTTAACTCGAAAAAACTATATGAACCTTGTTATATACATGTTATATATTTTTTAAATAATTTTATCATAAAAAGTCTATCATTGTTTATATGTAAATTAAAGTCAAGGCTCAAGAAATGAATTATTAGGTATTATAATCAAAATTAGACAAATTTTTAATTAGAAAATTAATTGTAGTGAAAATAAAATTACTAAATGGTTTGTAATATAAGCATTACAAAGGAAAAAAAAAGTTATTTTATGTAAACTTAAATCGATTAATCCAAACCCAACCAACCCAACCCAATTTAAATTGGTTTGATTTGTCTGCATTTCTAATACATACAGTTTGGTTTGGGTTCGTCTTCTCAAACTCGAAAATATTTGGTTCTGTTTGGGCTTCGCAAAACCCAAACCAAGCTAGGCCATACACAACCCTAATAATAACTTAAATTTAGAATGCACTTACAATTATCATAAAATATAGTATAACTTTATTAGTAGGGATTTTTAGATATAATATTATTTTCTAATAATAATAGATACATTTCAAATTATAAGAGGGCACATAAGTATATAGAGATTATAACTTCAAAATTTGAAGTTAAAAGTCTCAAACATTTTCTTTTTTTATTTATAATTGTTATTGTATATCCCTGTAAAATAATAAAACTAGGTGGTAGGATATCGTAAATTTATAATTTCTTTTTTCCAAATATTTGTTTAACACTTTAAAATTTCGTATCAATAATATTTATGCTCAATGTTACCAATCTATTATCTATTATTTTAAAAGTTTCACGTCTGATATTATATATCTATGTTAAATTTTGGAGTTAAATCATTTTGTTCTATAAGGTATGGCCCAAAAAACAGGTCCCATTGAATCTGATAGTAACATTTAGGTCTTTGTTTGTTAGTGTTAGATATCAATTTTTTGAAATTATTTTGTTAATATCTAAAATACCCTTAATATGTTGAGTTTTATTTTCTTAATCAATGGAATTGTTCTAAATTTTTACTAGCATTCTCAGTTGGCAGCTGTCTATTTTTAATTTCATTTACATAAGAAAAGATTTACATTATTAATTTAAATTTAAAAATTTATTTCAGACTTTTACCCAAAAAAAAAAAAAAAGTTTTATGGTTAGATTCTATTGGACCTTATGTTACGTAGGCCAAACCTCAAGGACCAAAATGTATTTAACTTTTAAATTATGTGGATATTATGGATACTATATACCAAATACGCTTATTTGAGTAGTAAAAATCACAACTACTGAAATAAGAAAAAAGAAAAGCAACTGCCGACAACCCATTTGAGTAAAAAAAAAAAAAAAAACATAACTAATCTCTGCTTTTAGTGATAAATTAAGTAGAAGTGTGTTTAATTTAATTAAGTTGAGTTGGAGTCATCCAATTAACTCCTGTCTTAGGTGCTCCTTTTCGATCTATTTTAAGATTTGAAAGTGACTTCTCAACAATGGAGGAAACAATCAACCATCTACACACACTAGAATGTGAATGTGATATTACACAACCTTGTGCCACAAACATATGCCAAATTTTGCCCTAATTTTCGCATCACAACTTCAAAAGGGGGTTCTTTTATTGCTCTCAAAACTCAAAAGTATAAAATGATTAAGGAGTTATTACGTTGTAATAGTAATGATTTTTTTTGGTTCCGAAATGGATCAATAAAAGATTAAGGGAGTAGTTATATTGCTAATGTAACGTTTCTTTTTAAACAGGATCAACATATATGTTCAATGATTCAATGATTTATGTTAAAGATAATGTTAATTGTAACATTACAACTTTGTTGTTTCTTTTTTATTGTTCAAAGCACTGTTTTAAAAGTCGGACCAGACCGGCCGATCCAACCTGTTGGACTGTGAACCGGTCACGTGTCTGATTCGAGTCAACCTTAGACTCGGTATTATGCAATAAACCGCTTTAACCCGTAATGGATCGTGTGAACAATATTGGACCCCCGGTCCAACCAGACCGCAAGAAAAACCAGTCCAACTGAAAAATGAAAAAAACCCTAATTTCTCCCTTTGAGCTGCGCGGTTTCTTCTTCCTTAGTTCCTCTACGCGCAAAAAACTCTGAAAAAATTTGAATGAAGTCGCGAAAATCTGAAAAAGATCACAAATCAAAACTCAATCTTGACGATGGGTGCCAATCGCAACCATCCCTTGTTGAAACCGCAACTCCAGTCTCTGAAATCGCGACGACGCGTTCCTCCCTCGCCGGAAATCGACGACGTGTTCCTCCCTCGCAAGAAATCGACGCACTTGGCTAGATTTGTTTCCACTATTTTTGTTTTCAATATTTTCCTGTTATGTAGTTAACGTTCTCAAATACTCGAAAAGGGTCCTCAAAGTTTGCTGTTTACTTGTGAATTCACAAATCTAAGCCCTCTTTCTCTCTGTTGGAGCTTGAATGATCTTCAAGGTGACATCTTTTCTCTTCTTTATTTGTATCTCTACATGGGTTATTGATTCTAGTTGTGTTTTAAATTAGCAGCAATAAGTTTTTGTATTTTTATTTCTGTATTGCAACCCTAGATTTCGTTTCATTGTAAGCTCTAAAAGGACCAAGCTTTTTATTGCTTAATCAATTTCAAGACTTTCTTATGATGGATTGTAGAGGGTTTCATTTGTTAATCTGGGTTGTGTCAGTCTTGTGTTTAGCATGTTTTGGTTGTTGTCAATTTGCTCCTAGAGACAATTACCTCATAGACTGTGGATCACTCACCAATACTACAGTGGATGGTCGTGTGTTCATGGCTGATAAATTGGCTGATAAATTGCTTTCTTCTCCACAAGATATTACCGTCAATACTTCAAAACCCGTGACCTCCTCCAATGATTCGTCGTTGTATCAAACAGCTAGAATTTTTACTGGATCCTCGAAGTACACCTCTTCTATTAGCCAAACTGGTACGCACCGGATTCGGCTTTACTTCAATCCATTTGATTAGGGGAATTTCATTATGAGCAAGGCTACGTTTTTAGTTTCCAGCCAAAAGTATGGCCTCCTTAGCAATTTCACTACAAACTCTAAAGTAGTTAAAGAGTTTTCAGTGAATGTAACCACTGATAACCTTGTTATCACTTTCAGTCCATCAAACAATTCATTCGCATTCATAAATGCCATTGAAGTTGTTTCAGTTCCTGACCAGCTCATCACTGATGATGCTATCCTCATTAGCCCATAAGAGAAATTCCAAGGCCTGATGTGGCAGGCGTTGGAGACAGTTTATAGAGTAAACATGGGTGGACCGACAGTTACCCCTCTGAATGATACCCTTAGGCGGACTTGGGTTCTTGATCAAAGTTTCCTTCTTCAAGCAAATGTTGCCAAAGTTGTATCTAAGATTTCTGCTGTCAAGTATGTTTCAGGTGGGGCTACTCGTCAAATTGCTCCAGAATCTGTCACTACCACCTGCATGAACTCGAATAACAATCCTACAGCAATTTCAATACTTAAATTATGTTAGGATTGTTGTTGAATTTGAACTTTGAATCATGTTAGACAGTAATTAAGTTGTTATTATCTTATTAAAAAATAGAAATCTTAAAAAAAAAAAGGTTTTTTTTTTTTAAATGGGCTGATGTCATCATGACGTGTGATAACATCATCGATCCAACCGATTGTACCTTTTGAACCATGACCCAGGCAGCAGAGCGGGTTGCCTTCCGATCCGACTTTTAAAACAATGGTTCAAAGGATAGACCAATCCCGTTCTATTTTCATGGTTCTAACTTCTCAATTCTCATTGTAAAAAAAAATTGAAAATTAAGAAATCAATCAATAAATTTCTTCATCTAGTTATTTTCCAATATTGGTAGTTTGGTACAAAATCATGTGAGAGAATTAACATCATTTGATAATTACTTATTCCCCATCCAATGTTTCACATAGATAAGCGATATTTAAAAATTTTCAACAATTTTTTTGTTGGAATTTATGATGATTGTCATAAATCTCTTTTAAAATTGGGTTAATGAATTAATCCCCAAAGAAATAATAAAATAAGAAAAATCTCTTTAAAGTTTCAAAAATGATATGAATCCTACTGCCGTTAAGTTCCAACCATAAATTCCAACTATTACAATAAACAGTAAGAAGACAATTTTAATAATATTTATTAACTTATGATAGAGTAAATTTTAATGATTCACTAACAATTTGTTAATAGTATAAGAATTTTTGTTATTTCAGTTTGATAATATCGTAACTCGAATGGGTCTATGTCTTTCACTCTTTAAAATTTATCAAAAATCTTCCCCAAGTTTTACAAAATTTGTTAAAGTTTTACAAAATATGTTAAAATCTCTTTAATAGGAAGTATTAACAAACTAAAAACCATTGTTTTAAAAGCCGGACCGGACCAACTGGTCCAACCGGTTGGACCAGAACCCGATCATGTGT